AACAATTTGTCAAAACATAAAATAGTTACAAAATGCCATGGGAGCGTCTTGGCTTCAACCATTGGAGTTAGAGCAGCTTTAAAATCCAATTGCTTACACGATAAAACAAATTACATAATCTGCAAGGATGATGATTGCCACCTTTCCTGAAGACTGTTAGAAAAAAAATAAGAAGCCAAGAGTGAGAATATGACCTTCGGCTGGGTTGCCTTGCAGGAAAACTCCAGTCTTATCAAATCTGGATGATGGGCAGTAAAAACAGGCTGTTTTGAGCATGCCATTGTACTAATGTCTTTCACACTGCATTTCTTTTTCATTAACATACACATTTTCATACCTTGGAGTGATCGGCTACCTTCATTTTTTAACAGAGATGTCTCACAGAGTAGATTAAACTATTAGCAAATAATTATCATGTTTCTCTCTAGGGGAAAAATAGTGAGAGTGTGCAGATGAAGACACCAAGATAATGTCTTGTTTACATGCGTAAGTGGGCTAAATCAGCAATCTTGCTTCTAAATACCCCATTAAGGGAAATGTGAGTACAGAGCTATCATATTAACAACTGTCGCTAAAGAATAGCGAGATACAATGGAAAAAAGTTCTAAAATTCAAATATTAACTCGATTGTTGTGCTTGTTTTTTGGAGTGATACATTTGGGATGGGGAGCAAAACAATCTCTCTGGTTTAAAAATGTGTGCATTTTTACGGCGTCATTAATTTAATGATTTTTGGTCTGAGTTGACTGATAGTCTTAATTAGTTACAAAAACAGAGGAAATGTTGTCATGTGGGACGTGCCTGAAGATGCAAGGTCTCGCTTTACACACAGAGCCCATTAGGTCTTGTTCAAGGCACCAAAAAGAGGGGAATCACAGATGAGCAAATAACAGTTAGTTTAAATGAGCTGTGGGTAAAGCCATCCAGTCATTTGGCTCTGTCGAGTAGAAGCTTGATGTGAAGAAAGTGCACAACATATTTAAAATAAAATTTCCAACTTGAAATGGTTAGGCTAATGTATCAAATAAAAGTGTTTTCAAAAACATGAATGTGTTCATTCTGAAAGATACGTGCTATGACACAGTAGATATGAGTGTCGTGAATATAAAATATTTCCTGTTCTGCCTCGGGGGAAAGCAATGTGCCGCCACTTTCCCAGAGTGCTTCTTGAAGCCAATAATGTCTACCACTGCAGACAAACAAACAAACATTCAAAAAATACCTGGAATGGCAGGTTCTATTTAAAACATCTTTTCTAACTTTTTGAGCAGAACGCTGCCAGAGGCAACACTGGATGTGAAGCACACCAGTGGTGGAGATGGGACCGTAAAAATCAGCATATATTTTTTTAAGCTGGCACGCCATGAAGGATGGGAAACAATGCCACTGTGCCTGCAGGACGAGGTACAAAACACTCATGACTCATCGCTTAAACACTGAAGTATACTGGAATAAAAGAGGAGAGGAAGAGACCCAACCCCCATCGCAAACACACAAAATGTGACCTTCACAGTTTGATGCTTGGCTTGTGTCTAAAGAAGCACTCAGTCCTTGTCCAGTGAACAATGCAACATAGTGATTCTATGTCAATCAGTTTTTCTTTGGAAAATGTTACCAGTGATTTAGGAAATAATCATTACAAAGTGACCAAAATTATGTTAAAATGCATAATAAATAAAAGCTACCATATTAATGAAATGAATTACAGTGTTCAAAACATTTATTAAGCACATTTATACTCAAGAAAACATCCGTTGCATATGCTGGGTCTATATTTCTTTTTATATTAACTTAGAAATAAAATATAAATATATATTTAAATTAATATATTTACACATATTCTAATATATAGCCTATATATAATCATAATAATGTAATGAATATATAAATGTATATTTAAAGTTATTTACTTAAATGTATTATATAAAATGTATAATATATTTTTAATAATAACTCAAATATTTATAAAATATATCATAGACTAATGCATATAGTAGGTCTATCTCTTTATATTATTTTCTAAACAAAATGTGTGTGTATTTGTATTGTGTATATATATATATATAATATATATTATAAAAATGAATGATTTTATATCAAATTTTTAAAAACTAAAAACTATTATTATTTCATAAATATTCAAAATCTTGTCTGTCTTTGCCATGGATGATGACATTGACATATCAGAACACTGATAACATTGACACTGATTTTATCCATTAAACCAAACTCTAAAGATAACCGGTGGTTAAATAATGCTTGTTAAAAAATGAGCACGTTTACAACACTACATACATTTATTGGACTGATTTGGTGTGTTTTATAATAATATCTGGATCACTTCATACATAAGGTAGGCCTAATCATATGCTGTTCTGGAGTGTCTGTTCAAAAACTGTCCTTCAAGCAATTTGCATCATTAACTCACATATAATGGAATTTCAGAAAGTAATATAATTAGTTATAATCCTCAACACCAGGTTGGATTTTCCACAAGATTTCCGACTTCTCCAAACTACTTGCCAGATGGCCTTGTATGCGTAATATATGATAATGCATGATAAAATATACAGCCTTGGACACATCCATATTTCACTGTACATTAAATATTTGTGGGTGGATTTGATTGTTGTTGTAGCCACCAGAAGAAAAAAAAAGACAGGCCTCAGATGCATCATTACAAATATCTTATAGGCTAACTACCCATAACTTCTGTCTCTGAAGAGGCGATGTCCTTTATCACAAAACAGTCCCTGAGGAAATAAAAATATGCTAAACAATAAAATTTAATAAAAACTACATAGGGCCTATGTTCTCCATAGGTTGAAATACTGGTTACGGTAATTGTCTACAACTCGTTGTAAAAGTAGGAGGACGTTTGTGAAATTTACTTGATTGTGACCTTATCATAAAACTTTATCACGTGTCAGGCATTTTCGATAGTCTTTATAACTTGTGTAAGAATGAATAGGCCTAATTAAACGCTTTTTGAGCCTCACATCCACTGTTTGACAACTACTAACCTTTGTCTTGCTGATGTTTAGCTACGCGACGTTTTCGTTATCCCAGAAGACATTATCAAAGGATTATTATGGGCCTGAGGCTTGAACTCTCAGTAGGCTATGGCGTAAGAAGCAAGCGTCAAATCCATGAGGTCACTGAGGCAAAGACTTGAGATGTACAGCATGTAGGTCTACAAAGAGAACATTTCTCAAAGAAACAGGCTAATATTCTTCTTAAATGTTATCTGTAGGCAGGATTAAAAGAGATATTTAGCTGCATAATGTAGGCTAGTTTATTACGCCCTCTTTTGGCAGTGACTGGAACTTTTTCTTATTGTCAAGTCTCTGAGACTCTTCAATTTGTAGGCTCAAGAGATAACCGCTGAAGCATTGGATATTGCTGATAAACATAAGTTTGAGATAAATGGTCTCAGATACAAATTGGATTTTATGTTTTGGTCTCTTGTTGTTTTTTTAAACACAAAAGCACAAATATAACCAGAAATCATCGGGGTCCAAGCACCATGTGATGATTAGCAATTAAATTGAAATGCATCTTATGATGGGGTTTATACAGCGAAGTCCATCTTGAATCTTCACTGATAGTTAGGGTTTGATGAAACAGGTTAGACAGAGCATCACAAAAGGGGCAACTAAGGGGCCATTTACATGACACCATTTTCAACGAAAAACGGAAAACGTTTTGGCCATTCATTTACACGACATCGCGTTTTGGGTGTCTGAAAATGCAAACATTTTAAACGGGATTCAAAGTGCAAGTTTTTGAAAATAATACCATTTTCATCTCCGCGTAACCTACAAAAATGTTAATTTGTGAAAACGGTGACCTCACGGGCATGCGTTTTACGTATTCATTCATTCTATAGGCGCTTAGTTTTTCTTTACAAAGTGACATCGCTAACTACTGGGTTAAGCATAATACAGTGTTTTTAATCGTTTTCGTGGATCCGTGTGAACGGGTATTATTTTGACAATGAATGATGTCGGCTGTATGCAAAAAACACAAAGGAAAAACTTTTCAGTTTTTAGTAGCCTACACTGTTGTCATGTAAACGTACCCTAACTTTCAAAAGAAATATTACTGTTAAATTCAACAAAAACATGTAAACATGTTTACTGTCGTAAGACGTGATCATAATGTATGTGGTGTATTTTATAGATAAACATAATGAGATACACTTAAAACAAGGATTCAGAAAAAGACAATAATTTTTATTCTATCACACACGGTTGTGGAGTTCTTAGCGAAAACCTCAATTTGCTTATTTCCCCAATTTTTTTTACAAAAATTGATACACATACAGTACTCATGTTCACAAGATGTGTGAATATAATAAGTTTCATAACCGTAGGTCATTTTGATTTGACATTATTAGTCCCTGAAATTTGATTGGTTGCTGGGGAAATGTTTTTATGTAGCCAAGCCATATTAGAGGATATGTTAGGATGTTTATAAAAGAAGATGCATTTTCAACATCACAGAAAATACGGTTATGGCATTATAAGGATTTTCATTTGTAGCGCCCCCTATTGGTGCAACTTTGATGCGACTTGGCATCTGTGAATCAAATTTCATTAAGTTTGGACATTATGTTTGTGGGTCAATTAGGTGAGAAAATGAATGTCACCAGACAAATTAATTTGCTTAAATCATAACAACGCTTCAACATATCCAAATTCTTTTGATAACTTTTTGCCACCACTGCCCCTAGCTGCTGTGTGCAAAACTTGGTGAAGATCAGACCAACGGCCTAGGAGGAGATCGAAAATATACGTTTACAGTTAATTCAAAACGGCCCGTAGAATTCCAGGGTTCAGAACCAAATAGCAAATTACCTAATTATAGCGCCACCTAGTGCCACACAGACGTGTCTTTCTTTGCGACTGAGTGGCGGCGCACAATTGGGATCATCCTGCCGAGTTTGGAGGTCAGAAAAAAAGAATAAAATCAGTACAAACACAGAGTTCAAGCACCCCTTAAAACTCTTAAATGCATCTTTGCAGTTTATTTGTACATCAGTTTACAATTCACTGAACATGAGCTTGCTGTACGTCCAATTCATATGGACAATCTGTGTCTGAATCCATGGCACACATCATTAAAGGCAGCTTGAGCTCTGAAAGGAAGTCAAAGCCATCCATGTTGATTGTGACATTGTGAAATTCATGCCAAAAACAAATTATTTATGTGGTGCAGCTGGATAAAGACAAACAAAACAAATAAAAATCAAAAAGATAAACCGGGCACTTAGTGGCATTCATTAAAACATGAACAATTGCCTTGTGAAGTCACTCTCTCTTAAGACATCTCAACCTAGTGTGCAGAGTCATGCTGACGTTAACAGGAATGTCTTCCATTATTTAACTACGACTTAGCAACGCATGTAGTGTATTTACAAAAGATATTGCTCCATAATCCATTTTAATGCATGTATTTTGCTGGTCTCTTATTGATGCAAAAATATCATGCTGATAAATATACAATCAGCTGTAACATAATGAGGCATTTCAACCTAAAAACTCCACTATCATAACAACTCATCCCTTTATATATGAGCGCACTTGTTAATTTGTCTCAAACCAACATTTCTGCAACAAATTCACTGTCTTTATACTCAAGAGCATTCAAAACATTCAAAAAATGAGTGCATGTGTCCTGTGTAATTGCATACACGGAATTTTGAAACAAAGGACATTTTGACATTCTCAAAACAAATCCTCATAATATTTGAAGGGGAAAAAAACCAGATCTGAAATGTTACTCAGATGTATATGTGCTGAAATGTCAACATGGCTCACAACCATAACACTAAATCCAAGTTTCAGTTGATTTAGGAACAGAAAACAGTAGATAAACCAATAAATCTGCCTGTGTATCACTATATCAAAAACTGTCACAGATTCAAAAAAACACTCAGACTGAGAGTGTGAGTCTCCTGCCAAAATGGATGAGCACAGCACATTTCTAAACAGAGAGGCCATCCATCTACCTCTGTTCCTGAATATGATATGAGTAGTTACAGCTGACACGCTCACCAAGCAAGTTATATGACCGTATAACCCATAACGTGAGAAAGAGTGCATGGGTAGAGAATCATCCAGCCCAATGAGTAGTGCAAGCCTTTTCAAAAGGCACTGGAGTGTACTGGGAAATATAAATCATCCAAATATTCAAAAACACACACAAAAAAAGAGCCAATCCAAAGTTCAAACATGCAATTACTTAAAAATCTATTGAAATTTACTGATATTGTAGTTAAAGCCACTATCTGTGGCATGTGTAAAAGGCACCTAGTGTTAAACTGATGAAGCATCCCATAGGAAAGGAATAGAAAAGATAATGTAATAGTAATGCTTTTTAAGTCCTTGTATTTCAGGTGGCATTACAACCTTATTACATGCTTCTGTCCATCATTTCATTATTTAATCATTCTGAAGGCACTATCTGTATCTGAAATATCCCTTAATACCTTGCATTTCTGGCACATATTTTTGGCATGTGAACAAACAAACACAGTTTCATGTGCTTGAAAGAGCCAAACAATGTGTGGTATTAGTAAAACACGACTTGAGGTGTACACAAAGCCAAACTGGCTGACTCAAAAACAAGAAATATATTAATTTTAGAAGCACACTATATGAGGTTTGGTGTACATGCATGCTTCAGTGAGAGCTGCAAACTGTTCCTCCAGATCCTCCTGCTCCTGAAACAGAGGCTGGATTGTTCTTTCACACTTCCTCGTAGAAGGCCATCTGAGCCATGTAGGCCGAATTTCTCTGCAACCGACAGACACGACAGAATAAGAACATTGTTACATTCTTTTGGGGAATGTGAACCATTTCATGAAAAGAATTGGGGAAAACTGAATTTTCAGCCGTCATTACTCCAATCAGATTCATTTTATTTAAATAGGGACAATGCACAAGTTAACATTAACCTTGTTTAAAAAACAAAGAGAGATGCATTGTGCCAGGTTGTAGCACAAGTGCTATTTTCCGCCCGTAGTCCCTTGGCAGAGTATAATACAAAACATTAAAATATACAATTTTCTAACCATAAAATTAATTTACAATTAAAACTAACATATGCTCAATTTTTCCCCATTCCTAAAACCACCCCCACCCCACCCCACACCGACAAAACTAAACAATCAAGATCCCTACCTCTCCCAGTACAAAACACACACACACACACACACACACACACACACACGCACATTTCATAGATGTGTACAGTTTTGTTGTGACAATAACCATGCTTTTGTCAAACTCGAGAAGATTTGAGGATTTGTACATGTAATAAGGTGTGTGGGGAGAGTATTCCACTGAGTTATAGCCACAAAAGAAAAGGCTGATTTTCCAAATGAGGTTTTGCGATTTGGAATATTGCATTCTCCTCTAGTGGCGGACCGAGTAGCTCTTTTTTTTTCAGAGTTGAGCTCAATAAATTTTTTTAGAGGAGGAGCGACAGCATTATGAATGATTTTAAAAAGTAAACAGACATTCGAATGCATTATCAAATTTCCAAAATTTAAAATATTATACTTAGTCATTATTTTGCAGTGGTGATATTGACGAGTCTTTTTATCATGGATCTTAAGGGCTGTTTTATATAATGATTCAAGTGGTCTCAAGCTTGTCTTTCCTGCTTGAGCCCAACTTGTCATGCAATACATAAAGTGCGGGACAATCATTGCACTTAAGTAGGTATTTGATGCCTCAATGGTAAGAGAGTTTCTTATATGCCTGAAATTTATAAGATTAAATTTCAGTGCATTTCTCAATTTTTTAACATGTTTTTTAAAGGTTAGAGTTGGGTCCAGCGTTAAGCCCAAATATTTGAATTCGTCCACATTTTTAATAGTATGCCCATTCACAAAGACCTCAGGACATTCCCTAAGTTTGCATCTATTTTTAAAAAACATGGTTACCGTCTTTTCAGTGTTCAAAGTAAGACATGAGTTATGTAACCACTCAACAACCTTATGCATTACATTCGTTAATTTTAAAGCAACCTCTGTAGCATTTTTCCCATGAGTGTACAGCACAGTATCATCTGCATACATTATTAAATCAATACCATTACATACTAATGGAAGGTCACATGATCCTTCAGAATTCATTATAATATGCTGATTTGGTGGTCAAGTAACATTTCTTATTATCATCAATGTTGATAACAGCTGTGATGCTTAATATTTACTTTTCAGGATTGTTTGAGGAATAGAATGAAGTTCAAAAGTACAGCATTTACTGGAAATAGAAATGTAAAATGTTGTAACATTGTTTAAGACTTTACTGTCACTTTTGTTCAATTTAATTGTTCGTTTGTTGAAAAACTTTTGAACTGTTTAGCTAGTTTATGTTTGATGTATTACATAACTACTTTTACAATTTTTTTTAATTATTCTTATTTGTTTTGATTATTTTAATTTCTTCTATGTAAAGCACTTTGAATTGCCATTGTGTATGAAATGTGCTATATAAATAAACTTGCCTTGCCTTGCCTTGCCTACATAACAATGCCTATTTTCCAACAAATGATTTCCAATGAATACCAGTATGCGTGTGTTTCTTACATTGCTGTGAGGAATATAAGGAGGTTCTGCGTAACTCCTGAGGTTGTAGATTCCAGCCTGTTGCTGCTCTTCCAGTTTAAGGGATTCAATCTCTGATTTGAGCTCCTTCAGCTGGTCTTGAAGATGTTTGCTCTTCTCCATGTACTCTAGCCTGAGACACACACACAAGGAGACAGCAGCTTGAATCCACCTTCGTTTTTCAATAGTTTTTCAGACATAAAATGATAAAAGTGTGTACCTTTCTCTCTCAATCTCCATCGAAAGTCTCTTCATATCAGAGTCTTTGAAGTCCATTCGGATGGAGCCGCCCATGTCTAGAGCCAAATCTGGATTCTCTGGCCCAGTGGGTGGAGGAGGGCTAGAGTATGCTGCTATTAACTGAGCACATGACAACAAATGACATGTTTTAAAAGCATTCAATAAACAGTAGAATACTTTTGATACACGTCGTAGCATCATTACAGGATATGTTGTTTTGGTGATTTCCACGAGTTTCTGCTTTGCCCTCCGTTCCGCGTCTTTAGCTTCATTCAGATCCTGTTTCAGGTGGTCTGCCTCCTTCAGTCTGAACGCCACAAAAACAAGACAAGAATTAAACTTCTTTAAATAAAAGGCTCTCGGTGAAACTGGATTCTGATTGGTCAATCGTGGCACAGAGAGGTCAAATATTTTAGTATAATAACTGAGCATTTTTCAAATGTATTATTTCTTTGTGTAAAACTTTTTTAAAGAAGAAAAATTGAGAGCAACTTAAATATAAAATTTCTTTATTTACTTAAATAATTAATTGAAAACTTGAAACAATGTTAAATAAGAGAGAATAACTGAAACCATTGTTTTCATTTATTTTGTTAATATGGTTGCACTTATGTGTACTTACCTAAGAAAGTACTGAGTAATATAAGGTAACTACATGGGTTAAGGTTAGCTTTAGGGGTAGGTTCAGGGTTAGTACCTAGTTATTACCCAATTATTGTAATTACTATAATAAATACATAGTATGTACATGGGGAAAAGGACTGTAAAATAAAGTGCTACCGTTAATATTTATACTTATTCAACTTTTGAATTAAAAAGTGTGTTCATTAACATAGTTTTTGCTGTGAAATAACTAAGTATCCAGAATGATGAAATTTCACTGGTACTGGTATCAACGACTGACAACTGTAGTGGCCCACCTCCTCTCTGATTGCTCAACAAGCTTAACCGCCAGTTGTTCTGCTTCTCTCATCTTCTGCTCCATCAGTCTCTTCTCTTCTTTGGTTTTAAGGGCTGTGACCTCCAGCCTCTGCCTGTCCTGTTCTGCCTCAGCAGCTTTGTGGGCCAGTAGTTTGGCCTCCTCCTCTGCAATCTGGGCTTTCTCCGCCAGAAGGTCGGCCGTCTCCTCGGAGCGCAGCTGCAGAGAGGGAGACCAATAAGAGAGGCTTACGGATACTCAAGCTCAGGGAGTCTCAGTCAGAGCATGAATGGAATTTTAATGGGAGTCCAGGACAATGGTTTACACCTTAACAGCTCTGCAATTCATCACAAATTTACATTTGGACCACAAACTTTTATACTCCTGGGGCTCTGAGGACATATACTACAAGCTGGCAGGGAAAAGAGAGTAAACTATTTGACATCACTCAATTTCTAGCTTAGCAAAACCCTCACTAGAGCTTCATTGGCCATTCGAGCCTCGTCCTGTAGCTGGAACAGACGACGCTCCATCTCTTCTTTCGCCCGCTCCGCCTCCTCCCTCATCTGCTTCTCCCGCGCAAGAATCTGACGCTCAACCTAAATATACACACACATAATAAGCCAATGGCAGGGATCTGGCACAAGTTAATACAAGACGAGGCAAACATTTTAATATAGATTAAAAATTATACAAATAAATTTTTTTTTAAACTGTTTCATTTATGTACACTACCATTCAAAAGTTTGGTGTCGGCAAGATTTTTTTTTTTTAATTAAAATTTAAATGTAATTTATTCATGTGAAAGCTTAATTTTCAGCATCATTACTCCAGTCTTCAGTGTCACATGACCCTTCAGAAATCATTATAATATGCTGGTTTGGAACTCAAGAAACATCTCTTATTATAATTAGTTGAAAAACGTTGTGCTGCTTAATATTTTTGCAGAAAACATTTAAAAAAATCAGGATTCTTTGATGAACAAAGTTTTGATCAATTAGATGCACCCTTACTGAACAAATGTATTTGCTTTAAAAAAACAAAAATCTTACTGACCCCACACTTTTGAACGGTAATGTACTTTATCCTGCCCATACTGAAGCTAAACATGTATTGCATAAGTTAGTTTATTAAGCCTCTGTTGTTTTAATGTTATAGCTGTAATGTTCATTATATTTACTGAATCTTCGATAAGCATAATATAAATTAAATGAATAAAGATTCATAAGCAATGCAATACCACACAGTTCTATTGTTAATAAAAAAGGTTAATGATAATAAACATTAAACTAATGAATGGAATTAAGATGACAGACCTTTTTCCTGGCCTTCTCCTCTTTAGCCTGAGCCTTCATCTGTTGCACCTCTATGGAATCCACCTTCCTCCTCCTCATGAACAGGTCGTGGTTCCCAATACACAACTGTAATATCTAATATATACAAATGACATGAGCAACTATTTTGATAGGCTATTACAGAAACACTCATAAAAGCAACTCACCAGTTTGTTAACTCTAAGCTGAGACGAGTAGAATTTAAAAACTTCCTTTTTCTTGTCCAATGGTTTGATAGTAAACTGAAAAGAGACATATTATGTTTGAACAATCATTTTGTCCCAATTTTGGATTTTAATTTATGTTTTTGGCTCTCCCAACCTCCTTCTCGCTGTACGAAATGTTTCGGATTCCACTCCATGGGAAGGATTTGTTGGGGCTGAGCTTGCTGTTGGGACAGTAGATGTGAAGACCCTGAGCATCAACTCCAAGAAGCAGCTCTGTGTCCCTCTTATTTTGCTGTGTAACACCAAAGTAGCAGAGATTTAAAGGAATAGTTCACCCAAAAATGAAAATGATCCCATATTTTACTCACCCTCAAGCCATCCTAAGTGTATATGACTTTTCTTCTTTCAGCAGAACACAATCGGAGTTATATTAAATACTATCCTGGCTCTTCCCAGCTTTGTCATGGCATTGAATAGTGAATGAGTTTTTGAAGTTCCAAAAAGCGCATCCATGGGGTGGACAAACTTTTGTTTCATGATATGATCAATTTTATTTCACGAAAACGATATACATCACGATATAGCTATTTTTGTTATTATATTTTATTTAGAACAACAGGACAAATACAATATAGCGAAAATGTGAATTAAACTATTTAAATTTTTCAGGAACAATAGGTTTATTTAACATGTAGTTAGAAATAGTACAGAAATTGAATAATCATAATGTAAACAATAAAATACTGGACAGTCTTCACTCTATGAATTAAATATACATTATTTTCTTCAGGAGCAGTAAGTTATTTTCCCTTTTGTTTGATTAACATTAATGGCACAGAGATCAGCAGGTTTATTAGGCTACTGTCACATCCACACCTGTTTACTTTTACATAAGACATAATCGACTGTTTACATGAATACTCCACAAGATGGGCATTTTAATAAATTTGTGTGTCTCCGTGTATCCATATTTGTAAATAAAGAAGCTGCTTTCTGTGCGCGCTTCAGCAGTGTGTCCGTCAGTGTGAGCACCATATTGAGTTCTTTTTCACAGCTTATTGCGCTTAACTCTTTTAACCTTAGCACCTCCCAAATTTGTGGGAGGCATTCTGAGAGAGGCAGCTTTGCACACCAACAATGTACGAGAGAAGATAGTATTTAATATAACTCTGATTGTGTTCGGCTGAAAAAAGAAAGTCATATACACCTAGGATTGGCTTGAGGGTGAGTAAACATGGGATAATTTTCTTTTTTGAGCGAACTATTCCTTTAACTGTACATCATCTAAAATTTAGTGGTAACTAACTACACACAATATCTACGGAAATATACCAAGAGGAAATTGTTCCTTCCAAGTAGGGGTGTAACGGTACATGTATTCGTATTGAACCGTTTCGGTTCGAGGCTTCCGGTTCGGTACGCATACAAACCGAACGATTCCTTGGACCATTTTTCCTGCCGACAAAATTCACGCTGGCGCGATCACCACAGCGTTGCGCAACATCAAATGGCAAGCGGAACGAAACTGCGCTACTCATTATGTGCTTCACGGATCGTTTATCAGTTCGGAGCAGCAACATCTGTGCAGCGCGAGGCGATCTTGTTCAAGCGACACTGTTACAACACAGCGCTAAGATCCAGTAAAGAAAACATTTGAATTCACCACTGAAGTAATAACATCGCTGCGAGATCTAGTGAGAAGCATTCACATTTCTCCGTTATTAACCGTAGATCTCTATTAGATCAAACAGCGCTGACGTGGACACCAGGAGAAATATTGTGCCGTGAATGAACTAGTAATACTTTACGTCCACAGACCAGCAACACTCACCATGGATTAATATAGTAACACTAACTGTAACCAGTTTGGCTGGAATAGTGAAATGCTTTCAAGTACTTCACACATCTTTTTCCAGTGAAATTACTGAACTTAAATATACAAGCTTGATAAAAATGATCATTCTAGAAGAAAATTTCAAATGGCTTTTGCATCTGAACTCTTCATATATTTAAATGTTATTTTTAATGTGATGACCAAAACATTATTTGTTCATCCTTCAAAGATGACACCCATTTATAAACCTGAAAGTTTCAAGATGTAGGAAAACTCACACTTATTTAAAAAATATTTTTTCTTTTAACAAATAGGAAATTTCTCTGGCATTTCTTACTTTTTGCTGTATCGAAAATGTACCGAACCGTGACTTTAAAACCGAGGTACGTACCGAACCGTGATTTTTGTGTACCGTTACACCCCTACTTCCAAGTGATCTCAAAGTCTCAGTTTTGAGAAGCATTCATTTTCAAAATCCCAAATGTAGTGTGCACCACTGAACATTCAGTTAGTGAGAGGTTAGCTTTCTTCCAAGCAGTGTACAAATGGAGAAATCTTTTAATAAAGGGAAAAAAGAGACTTACTGTAATAGAAAAGTAGCTAACTCCATACATCTCTAGATCCTGCGCTATTTTTAGATATTCCATCTCAGCCTCGTCCCTACAAAAACAAAATAAATGTAGCGTGTCTTTCATGTTGAAGAGAGTTTACATGGACGCAACAGGATATGCACAGTCTTACCTTGTGATGCTTCTGTGTTCAGCATACCAAGCGGTTATCTTCTCTTCCCACATGTCAGGTGTCATCTGATACTGCATCAGCACCTGGAAAATAAAACACATAAATCAAATACACAAGTCATTTTAATGAATGCAAACGTTGGTTAATTCTCAAGTAGTACAGCCTTTACTCACTCTTTTAGGCAAGAGTTCATCTTGAGCTAAGAAACCTGGCTTGTGAAAGTTTGGATCGTAGTCCCCATACTACAGAAAAAAAGAAAAACAGGACATATTTAATAAACACTATATAATTATATGCATTTTTGCATTAAACACTGATATGGAGACCTACCTTGGCTTGCACAGCATATGACGCCAAAAGAACAGAGGCTTCTGGAGAGCAAAAAATCTCCTCATCTAGTATCTGCTTTTTGACCTTTGTAAAGAAACAAAAAGATACTTCATTTTAACTCTGCTCAAAGAAAACAAGATTAATTATTGCAAAACACCAAAAGAGGATTCTGTAGCAGAAAAGGAGAGAAATCATGCTCAATTCACAAGAACAACTCCCACATACTTGTAAGAAGAAGAGGTGCTGAGTAATTTCCTGAACAAGCTCATCCTCAACTTTCTCAGGGAAGAATTTGGCAAGAAAATGAAATGTTATCGGAGAGTCCTTTGGAACTTCTTGATCCAGAACCTAGATGGATTTAAAAAAACAACAAACTCATCAGGGTATTCCTATATTACTCTGAGAACTACATTATTCTCAGAACTTGTTCACACTGCTCTGCCACCACATCTCACCCGTTTATCAGGCTTCAGCCAGGCATAAGTGTCTTTCACTGTGTATCGAAGGCCAAAAAACCACGTTTCCCTCAGACCGATGGTCCGGCACACCAGGTCAAACAAATCTTTCCCTTTCCATTTGACCTATAAGATGGAGATAAACATAAAACCGGTATGGTAACAAAATGGTAATACAGGCCACAGAATTAAAAACACATAGGTATGCATGTTCATATGTTCACCTCACAACTGAACTCCATTTCAGCATCCATAGTGCTGACTTTGACTTTAAAAGTCTTTGGTTGCTTCTTTTTTAGACCCAAAATCGACATTGTGACTTCTTAAGCACCTGCAAACATAAAGATCTAGGCTACTGTAAATTAGTCAAGTAAAATATATCCCCTGCGACCCAGTCATAGACATGGCCTTACAGCATGTTGATCAGGCATTTTGGGGAGACACAACAAGTAAATAGAGAAATAAATTATATCAACATGTTCCTATGAAATATGAAAATGTTGCCAAGTTATAGCCTAACCCCCATTAATACACTTCGTTTTTCATTACATGCAGCCCCAAGAACACATTAATATGCAAAATTAGATACAATGCATAGATACATTGAATAGAATGGGACTACCCATTTATGGCCATGTTTACACACATATATTGCATACAGTAAAGCACAACAGTATATCAAATCATTCGGTTATTTTTTGTAAGATAGTTGAGAATCATCTTTGTGAAAAATTTTGGTTAGAAAAAAGCATGAAATAAAAAAATTGGACATAGCATAAAACATTAATAAAATATATATATTTCCCCCATTTGTTTCGTATGCTCCAAACAATGTAAAAAAAGAAACATAAATAAAAATATCACAAAACCTTTTTTATGGTTCTCAGGAGAATATTTTACATTTTGCAAATTTTAAAGTTAACATTTATTCATAAAGCACATTTAAAAACAACAGATGTACAGCTGAGGAAATATAAAGGAGATAATATCTAAAACTTAATAAATACATGGAAAACACTTAATATATATGTTAAAACTATATATATATATATATATATATATACACACACACACACACATATATACATACATACTTATTATTAATTAACTTATTGCATGCACTATCATGACTGCAGTGCTACTTTCACATGGCAGATGTATGAGACCGCAGGTAAGTCGCTAACACGCTAAGAAGTTGTTTGTTTACATACAATACAACGTAGCTTAACTACTTCTATTCATTTTCACGCTACATATTATTAGTCTTCACCCTTTTTGAGTCAGATTTTACACAGTCTGCCATGTTATAGCGAGCTAGCATGAAGAATACGACTTCACAGAGCTTGAGTTTCTTTCTTAAATCCTGACATAAAAAGTACGTTAACGTTACTCTTCTCCGTGTGCAGCCGCGCAATGGTACTTTAAACGGTACAGGAATTTAACACACAGGAATTACAGAAAAAGCGAACATTTTTAAAGATTTAGGAATGAAACCAGCTAAATAACAATCAGTTACCTTGAATAGGTTGTGTTGAAACAGGCCCAATCCACGTCTTGGAGTTTCCAGTCTCTCCGCTAAACCACAACAATGCAAAACGTATTTGGTTCGTTCCCCTAACATACATGGAAATCGCTATAAACGAGTCGGAAAGTGTATAAAACTCTTAAAAATCGTCCATTTCCTTATTGAACCAAAAGTTGGGCGGTTGTGGAATATAAATCTGATGTTTTCTTGAGTAGAATGTGTTGGACAGGGAGTTAGCACTTAGCAGCACTTTGTTGTTTATTCTCTTTGCCGCCCTCTACCGGTACCTAGAATAACAGTTTAAGGAGTTTGTATTATACAGTGATTTGATTTCTGTCCACTCTCTCAATAAATAAACTGCATTTGAATGAGGAACTGAGGTTTTTTATTTTTTTAGTTCATTAAGTTGGTTTATTAAGAAATATCATTCTTTTGTATGTATTATGATCAAATATTGTGTCAGAATCTCAGTTTGCGTATGTAAATTGGCAGGCCAATATGTAGATTACATATTATAATTACATTACAATTATGCATTTTAGAAGAAGATTTTATCCAAATGTAAAGAGAAATTCAACCTTTATATAAATGTCACATGATGAAATGTTTATAGTAGCCTATCTCTTGCCTTGTAAAAATGTCAAAAATATTCTCTACTTATAAATTGCCCTAAAGAGTACCTGAATCTGTATCATTTTCCTTAAAGGAATGGCGAACACCAGTCGGACCTTTTCTGATGTGAGGAATGTGATCCTGTCGGCTCATAAAAACACAGGAGCTCAGGATAAGGTTGGCTTCTATGATACCTGGGCTGAGAACTATGAGCAGGTAAACTTAAGGCAGCAGTAGACTAATTTTTTTTAGTACTTTTTAAAAAACAATTTCATCTGTAATAATGTTGCTTTCTCAGGATGTAGCGCTACTGGATTACCGTGCCCCTTTGTTAGCGGCTGAGTGTGTGAGCTCATTTTTCACAGGTGACAGAGAGAAGGCCACTGTCCTGGATGTGGCCTGTGGAACAGGCCTGGTCTCTGCACATGTAAGCATTGCTTTATTCGAATACTGGTGGGCACAACACAAGAGAATGTGATAAGCTTGCTAATGCAAAGAGTGATGTCATTTATATTCTTAATCCCATTTGTTTGAGAAAAGTTAAAGAAAATGGGGTTCCATCACTTTGTTGGAGTAGATGGATGTTTGACGATGCTGGAGTTGGCAAAGAAAACTGGACTTTATCAGGAACTTAAGCAGTGCCTGCTTGGTCATGATGAAATTTCAGTTGAAGCTGGTAATGAACCATACCACGCCATGAACTTTAATGTTTTGGGCTTTTACTGTCTAAATATTACTGATTAATTTGTATTTCCTCATTGGTAATGTCTGTTTTAATGTAATTTTTCAGTTTCAGACTTTTGTAAAAAAAATAAAAATAAAAACCTTACACATGTATATTCATGTAATGTTGTATACTGTAATGTTATTAAAACCAGAACTTTAATTGTTAACATTAATCTGCTCAATATACTGCTGGTTTAATCTATAGGACAATCTGCACATAAAGAATCCACATTTTGATTTCCCAAGTTTTAGCTGTTATAACTAATCATCTGAATCATAAAACATGTTTGAGTCTTTTGTTGATAATGATATTGATATTTAAATTGATTAGCACTGTTGCATTTTTGACTTGATTCTCTCCTTTGTCTCAGAAACATATGATATTATTATAATTGTTGGAGCTCTAAGCGTTGGGCAGGTGCCTTTTACAGTCATCAGAGAGCTCTGGGATGTTACAAAACCAGGTAACTTGTGCATTTCACATTTAATAACACGAAATACATGCATGTTTAGTGTTATTGTTGTTATTAAAGGGATCGTTCACCCAAAAATGAATATTTACTGTTAATTTACTCACTCTCAGGCCATCCAAGATGAAGGTGACTTTTTTTCTTCAGTAGAACAGTAAAGAAGATTTTTAGCTGAAACCGTGGTTCTTTGTGATTCGTATAATGGAAGTCAATGGGTGCCGTCACTTTAAAATTCAAAGAAACATATGCAGACAAAACTAAATGAATACCTGTGGCTCCTGAAGATACATTGAGTTCTTAAGAAACAAAACAACAGGTCTATGCAAGAAACTGAACATTGTCTACAACATTTTTACATGTAATCTACAGCCTCGGCAAACGGTCCTGAGCGTGTTTATGGCCGTCTGGATCGCGAGCTTCATGTCGCATAATGACATATGCGTGGGAGCAAACGCACACGTGAGCTGACGCTGTGTTTGTTTACAAGCACATAAGACAAGTATGTTGTATTGTTCATCAAAATGGTACATACAGTATACTTGTGCTTTTCCTGGATGCCGAAACCTATATGAAAAATTAAAGGTAGGGTAGGCAATTTTCGGTTAGGCCAGCAATAGTGAGCTACCTTTGAAATCTTAAGATCCCACCCTCCCTTCAGAGCGTCTCCAAAACCACACCTCCTCCAAAACGCATGAACTTGTACAGCAGGGAGCAAACAAAAACGTCACGAGAGACGGCGTTAAATTACCTCAAAGCATTCTAATAATAATGGCAGGTAGGACATCGGAACGAGGGCAATGATTGGACAAACATTTTATGGTCCTACACCTTCCACAGACGATATATATATATATATATATATATATATATATAGCCTATAAATAAATACATTTAGACCACTTAACTTAATGATTGGTATCAGGATGTGAAGAGACTTTCAACCAGCTTAACAATAATGTTTCTGTTCACCTACCGTGCCTTTAAGATTGCATTAGCTTGTGCAATCTCAATCAGGAAGATTGAATTGTCACAGATTCCCAACCTTTGAGCTACTGCGCATCCGTCATTATGCGACAGGAAGCTCGCACTCCAGGACCGTTTGCGCTCAGGACCATTTGCCGAGGCTGTGGTTTACATGTAAAAATGTTGTTGTTCAGTTTCTTGCATACACTGATCGTTTCACTTCTTAAGATCTCAATGTATTGTCAGGAGTCGTGGGTATTAATTTAGTTTTTTTTACTCTGACGGCACCCATTGACTTTCAATAATATGAATCACAGAGGACCACCACTAGCCTGACTTCGTCATACTCATATTCTAGTCAGAATGTGAGTCTGATACTGCTTCATAGGGCTTTGATTATGAGGCGTTTCTTAACCGAACCAGGAAAAACAACAACTCTGCACTCAATTGGATAGACCTACAACCAATGAGAGCAACGCAGTAAGTCAACTACTTTGCATAGCACAGTTGTCAACTACAGAACTCAAATGCACGCACGCTGGAAGAAGTAAAATAACGAGTGTTGCTTCTTTTACTTGGCCCTCTATGAGTGCGACCAAAGGAGAAACCACAACGACCACAGGGTTTTCATTGCGTCCCATCTTCTTAGTTACCATCGGAGCCAGCTGACAAATTAAACTTTTGCCGAATCCCATAGGAAGGACTGCAAACACATCTTTCCGATCGACAAATGCCTTGATTGCAGTTCTATGTTCGTCTTTTAAAATGAATGACCTGTCGATTTGTTTTACAACACGCAATAGCGGAATCTATACATCTCAGTTCTCCAGCGGCAGTCATCTGTGAGGGAAACCAGTTCAACCCAAGCGCTCTTTGATAACGTGAGGATTACGTCCCTGTATCATCTGTCCATCATCGTATAAAGCCCGCCCTGGCAATTTGATTGGCCCGACGATTTCTGAACCGATCATAATTACCCCTCAATGGAGCGAGTCCAGACCGAACTTCCCAATCAAAAAATGTTGTGGGCGGGGTTCGGGCTGGCATCCAGGCTAGACCACCACAGTTTCAGCTAAAAATCTTCTTTACTGTTCTACTGAAGAAAAAAGTCACCTATATCTTGCATGGTCTGAGGGCGAGTAATTTAACAGCAAATTTTCATTTTTGGTGAACTATCCCTTTAAGGAACTTTAATTAAGTGTTTTAAGTTGGTCTAATTCAATATAATGGTTTAATTGATGTGATGTCATTGTTGTAGATTTTGTATGCATATAGAATGTATAAATTTCAGAGATTCTTCCTAAACTCCATCATTCTGTGTAACAGGCGGCTATGTGTGCATGACTACTAGAGGGAACGCTGATAACCGGCAGTACAAGGCTGAGCTGGAGAAAATGATCAAAGCACTTGAGGAAGAGCAGAAATGGAGCCGTGTGACTGTTGTTGAGGTGGAGGAATGGGAGAGAGCTGTTTCAGAACAGGACAGCGGGTACATTCCTGGTTCCATTTATCTGTATCAGAAAAGTTTTTAGGATCACACAAGGGCAACCCAGTGCTAGACCAAATCTCACAGTAATCCACAGTCACACACAGCTATTGTACAGAATTCTTATTCCACCAGCAGGTGGCAGCATTTTTTTATAAATCATAGTATCACTTGTTTGAAAAGTGCTTTTGTTCCCCAGAGAAGCACCTGGAACGAAGAGAAATGGCGAAACATGATCCATCTATGTGTTTTGGCACTAAATTATTTCACCTGGAACTTGTACACAGTGCAGTCACTTTAAGGTTTTTGTTCAAGTAAAGTCCATGAACCTAAAGGATTTCGTCAGAAAATGTCTGAGGTGTATCGTTACAAATCTACCATTCCCCAGTTACATCTAACCTTTCAGTTTGCCACTCCTCGATACTCTGACCGCTAGACTTTTGAAGCTGCCATTTCCGTTGGTGCCGTGTGACATAAATAAAACCCACAAACAATGTTCGGTTTAGATTTTTGAGTGCGTAATACTAATATTTTCCAGACACATTCCAGTTTAAAATGTTGTTGTTGAAATCCAATGTCATGATTTTTGGGTGTTATGATGTTGAAATTGCATTATTCTATATGTGCATATATCAATACCTAACAGAGACCATTCAAATACATTTGATTTTATGTCATTAAGACAATAGTTCAAGCACAGACAGAAATAAATGTACATGTGTAAGCAAATAAACAGATTACAAAATTCCACTGTTTATTTGTTAACTTGCATTCTAGAAAAGTGTAGAAGTGTCTTAAATCACAGTGTTTTGACTAAACAAATATTTTAAGGGCATACTTGAAGGCATTCAGGAAGTGTTGACTTTATACTTTATAACTTGTAACAGCTAATTCAACTTAGGTTTTAAGCTAAACAGAAGAATACTGAGATTTGTGGTTGTTGTTTTTAGATGGTAAGCGTCACTATAGCACACTCCGCCGTCTTTTTAAACACTCTGTGTCCTGACAACATGCAAAGCGTTTTCAAAACAGACACTTTCTGTTGAACCGGTTTGGCCGTTTCATTCAGGGCTTGAGCTGACACAAGAATAGCTAACAATGAAGAGAGTGTTCCCTCTCTTGTAACATATGAACCAAACCATTGTCCGTCGTAAGACCACCTGTGTGGCCAAGGTCATAGCAGGGCTTTTATATGACTTTGTTTCAACCAAAAATATGTTCATTTTAGATTCTTAGTTAGTAGGTTAAAACACGCTGAATGAAACTGAAGAATTTCCATATGTTCGTTGAAGCTGCGTCAGTGTTTTTTTTTTTTTCATTACAAATGAGAACAATCTACTAACTACTGACAGCCATTTTATTCATGACATTATGTATGTAAATAACATGAGGGGAAAACATTTTACCACATACAATCATGATTATACATTATTTAGTGCAAATATACACATTAAAGACAAAATGTATCAAAGCTATTAAAATGAACTATAAAACAATAATAATCTTGACTGCTGAGGTCTGTGTGTAACCACAGTGCAAATCTTCATCTCAATCAGCAGCACTTCCTAAAGTGCCTCAAATTCTTTAAAGAAATCTAAATAAGCAACTGTGATCATTATCAATTTTACATAACAATATTCAGCCACTAAATTCATAATTTTAATTCTTCATTTGACCAGTAATCCCTAATTCACAGTGCTACGGCAGGTATATGACTGTCCAAGTGCATGCAAGTGCATCAGTCAACACAGATCTTGCACTTTCAGTGTCTCCTTAATCAAATGTATGACTTTGGAGCATTTTCAGATGTCTAACTAAGTTCAGAGGGGCCCAGCAGCATTTGATCCATACCATCACCAATCAGCTGGGACTGTCCAGGTGCCCCTGCCCTGCTCAGACTCTGGCATTGATTCGGCTCTGGCAAGCTGGGACTTTGTAGTTGATGGCCTGCTCTGGTGGGAGTCTGCGGAGAGTGGTCTGTCCAGATTCAGTGGAGCTTTCTGACTCCATTGGGACCTCACAGATGGAGTGGCACTCTGCCGCGACCTCACGGAGATGGGCCGCATCCTGTGCGAGCCTGCCCTGCTGGACCCTGCCTGCGAAGAGCGCACGATCAAGTACTTCACTGAAGGACCTCTGTCATCCTCTGTTTTGTCTTTGCAGATAGTGGTGCACAACATTCCTCCACTCAACATGAGGACAACAGATGCACCCCAACCAACATAAATGGCGGCGCCAATCTCCCTGCGCTGGGAATTGTTCAACAGCGGGTCGTAAAACGCTTTAACCACAATGCCAGCCGACCAGGAGACAGGGATGATGCAGAGAATTCCGGCGACGATCAACGTCACGCCGGCCGCTGTGGCAACTCTGGCTTTGGATCTTTTGGAACTGTTCATGAAGATGGTGCACTTTCCTCCGATGAAGGCCAAAACAAGGCCCACTGCTCCTAAAAGGACAGACATCACCGTGATTGCCCGAGCGGCCTGCAGATCTGAGCCAAGTGCGAGGGTGGACTCGTACGGTTTGCACTGCATTTGGCCCGTGCTTTGTATAACGCAGCTCATCCAAATCCCCTCCCACATGATCTCTGAAGTGACAATGGTGGTTCCAATGAAGGCTGTCACACGCCACATTGGCATGATGCAGGACAGGAGGGCTCCCGTCCATCCCAGTAAGGCCAAGGCACTCGCCAACATGTGCATGCCAAGGGAAGCCATCTCGCTGGGGTTAAATGATACACGTCCACGGGTATACTGAGGCTTCTTCGTTCCTCTCACCGGTTAAAGCCTTTTTGAAGGCCTTGTTTCCTTCTTCACTCATTCCTGTCTGCAGCTCAGCTTTCACTCTGGTGACAGTGATGAGGAGTTTGTATGCTAAAAAGAAAGAGAATGACTGAGGAGGTGTGTGCAGTCCAATAGACCATGCCTCCATTAGTCCGCTTGCTACCAGACTAACCAGATTCCTTGGACAATGGGCGGGTCATGTAAAAAGAGGTAGATGGGCAACTGTTTAGATGGAAATTTGCATTGGACTCCTGAAAAGGGCTCAGGTGTTCGTGCGTCACTTGTGTACAGGGATCCAGATGCAGTTTCGATCTCACGCTTTTTGTGGTTTTTCTGACCACCGAGGCCGCCCCTATATCCCATAAAAAGTTCATAATTGATGCCATAATAATTTTTTTATGTTAAAAAGACCATGTCAAACTAAAAGTTCAGCCAAAAATGAAAATTCTGCAATCATTTACCCTCATGTCCTTTTGAACTTGAATGACTTTCTTTCTTCCATGGTACATAATAGAAAATAGAAGATATTTTGAAGAATGTTGTGACTATTCACTTGCATTGTATGGACAAAAAAAAAAAACACTGATACATTTCTCAAAATATGTTCCTCAGAAGAATGTCAGTCACATAAGTTTGAAACAACATGAGTAAATGATGACAGAATTTTGAACTATAACCTTTAAGAATGATTTCACTACTTTACTGCCATTTACATATTTATATTGCACATAAAATGTAAGGCAAGTGTGGTTACTAATTTAAAGGACTAACAAGTAAGTTTATAAATTGTAAAAGTTAAATAAAGTTATATTATTTGAATGCTAAACAGGATTGTTGCCATATTCACAGTCTTGCTGCTCAGTCCTGTTTGCTTAGTGTCAAATGACTTGACATGATGAGTCACATATGTTTTTCGGAAACAATTGTCCTAGATGTCTTAAAACAACAACAAAGAGAATGCTAAGGTCGCTCATTACATTTAGATTTTGATGTCATCATACCTAAGAGTTGACAGTAGTTTTGAGTCATTTCTTGTACCTCGGTGGCATATTGTGGAAATTACATGGAAATAAATGTGAGGTCGGTCTCTTCCTGTTGCAAAAAACATCAGAAACTCAAGCATACATTTATAAACAGAACATGTTTATGTTGACCAAAACCTTTACTATTTACATTTATTGATCATTTTTGAATATATATAAAGTGATATTTTATATCACTAGCTTGATATTCTATAACACTTAATAACTTTATATTATAAAGTTAATATTGTGTTTAGGGAAATACACACTTAGTCACAATGTTTGCATTCAGTAATATTTTTTATTAATTACACATTGCTACATGTCATATGGATAATGGTTACCAACTATAATATGATGTAAAACTATGAAAATAACTTTCTGGATAATGACGTAGTTTGATGACTGCATATAAAGAACAGATTAGCTACAAAGCATGCTTGATATGTACATTTTAATATAGAATAATGAAATGAAAAAATATATTGAGTATATTATTACACTACTGTTCAAAAGTTTGGGATCAGTACAATTTTTTTATTAAGATGCATTAAATTGATCAAAAGTGACTGTAAAGACTTTCACATTGTTGCAAAAAAAAAAAATCCATTTGAAATAAATGCTATTCTTTTCATCACAGAATGCTGAAAAAAGTATCATGGTTTCCACAAAACTATTGAACACATCATCGGTTTTCAATTGATAAAATAGATTTAGTTTAGAAAACGGTTATTTTAAAATGTAATGATATTTCACAATATTACTGTTTTACTGCATTTTTAAATCAATTTTACCTTTGTGCGCATAACCCTAATGGTTTCAGTAGCCAAACTTTGTGCAACATTGCACATGCATTTCTTGAATTAATATACAATGAAAAAATATGAACACGTATAATGCATTAATATTTTGTGGCAATGGACATTCCAATACTTCATTAAGCTTCATTCATTTGAAGAAATTACATTTGAAATTTGTATGTAAATGAGTTCCTCTTCAACAGTTTTTGTTTAGTTGATCTCACATTTTTTATACATAAGCTTTGCTGCTGTCCACAGACCTAGCTTGAGAATACTTCACATTACTGGGAACATCCTCACTCGGTGGGCAAGAGCTGCAGAGGAGACCTCCACCCAGGAAAAGCAAGCCGGCTGAAGCCCAGCCAATGTAAAGCGATTCCCCGAGCTCCCTCCTCTGGCTGTCCATCAACAGAGGGTTGTAGAAGTCCCTGATTATGGTATTCGCAGTCCAGCAGACGGGAATGAGGACAAGAATTCCAGCGATGATGAAAATAACACCGCTGGCAATGGCGACCTTCGCTTTAGACGCCTCGTCTTCCACGAAGTTGGTGCACTTTCCTCCCACGATGCACAGGAGGACTCCAAACACCCCAGCGATGATGGCGATGATCACCAAGGCTCTGGCGCCCTGCAGATCTTGAGGAAGTGCCAGCAGAGAATCATAGACCTTACACTGCATCTGTCCTGTGCTCTGAACCACACAGTTCATCCATAAACCTTCCCAGATGGTCTGCGAGGTCACAATGTTGGCTCCAATGAATGCTGTCACCTTCCAGTTGGGCAAGCCACAGATGACGATGCTTCCCAAGAAGCCGATCATAGCCAGGCATATGCCCAAGATTTGAAGTCCTGCGGACACCATGTTTCTTTACCTCTTGCTTTGAAGGAATGAATGTAAGATGAAGTTGGTGTTATAGCAGCCGTTAGATATATGTCTCTGTATTGTCGCATGTAACACTCACTTATGTCTGGGGGACGGCTTAAGGTCTTTCCAGCTAGACTGGTTTCCTTCTACTGGTCATGGCATTTGTTTAGAGAAAGCTGTCAAACCAGTTTTGTTCAAATGGACCCACATCAAATGCTGAATTTTTTTTTTATTTTATTTTTTTACCTTTTTTTTTTTTAAGTCTAGAAACCTGTGTTTGGCCTACATAAAAAGAGAATATTTTATCATATTACCTGAAACATCTCTTTAAGTGTAAATTATAGTTGGCTAAAGGTTGTTTACAAAAAAAAACTATTAGGCCTACAGATTTGAAAACTCAAGGCACCATTTACTGACTTTGAAAATGGTATAAAAGAAAAAATGCGTATCATACAGTGGCCTAGTGTCACTACTAGACTTTCCTAGTCATTTCATAAACAACAAACTGAAACATGAGCTTTGAAAAAAAAAGAAAAAAAAAGTTTTCTAAAATCAACTCAAAAGTTTATAAAAGTGTTTTCTTATATACTGTATGTGATTTTCTGTGGATTCAGTCAACTCTAACTGGACATAATCTGCAGACTGGTTCTGACTTTCGCCAACTTGCCTTGAGTCCAGACTGCAAATCGAGGGGAAAATCTGTAGTTTACTGTATTCCATTCTTTAGGGTCGTTTCCCAGATAGCATGGTGACATTGATACAATGTTGAGTTTTGATCTAAACCATCATTTTGGTTGAGATTGACATTTCAATGTTTAAAGTGTGCTGGATCAGCATTGAAATTTTGATGAAAGCCAACAACACACATGGGTGGAGACAGTGACATTGAACTAACAGTGATTTGTAATTGATGAGCACATGATCATTCAGGCGTATCTCTGCAGAACACTAGTGGGTGTTTCTCGATCAGTGGGGCGGTTTCAAACCACAATGGGCATTTTCAACCGCTTTACCCGATTTGCTGTAATCCACTGTGGGCTTGGTTTAGGGGTGGGCCTTCATGATTTTAGCAAGTCTGTTGAAAAATGGTTGAAAAACATTTACCTGTATTGTAGTTTGAAATTGGCCACTGATTGGTAAACGCCCATTTTGTCTTTGCATGTGCACTTTTCAATAGTCTAATGCTTCCTCATTAGAGAGAAAACAGGTGCATCCTATACAGAAGTCTTGTTTGTTGAATCACCTGACATACTTACATGACTTCTCTAGCACAGTTTCAAACAATGGTGCATCTACCTTATTTCTCTGTTCCTTTGTTTTGCATGCTTATTTGCATTTGATTTGTGTTGTTACTCACTGCAATTAGATTACAAAGTTATTAAAGTGTTTGAATAAAGCATCTATTTTTCTACATTCTTAAAAAATGCATCTTGCTTTCGTAAAGTTTATTAGGAATTTCCTGAATAAAGTTGTCATTTAACAGATTTCTTAAGGTGCAAGAGACATGAACATGAGCAAGAATGTTAACATAGCCCATGTCTTGTATCGGTCAGTGCTTGCATGCAGAACACATTGCTCCTTTAGTAGGAGTGAAGGCAGATGAAGATGGACAATTAAAAAAGCACCCTCCTGATAATGCTGACATTGATCATACATTGAGTTGTTGTCGACAGCATAATCACCTGACCTGGGACTTGATGATATCCTGTATCTTATCACTGCTTAATCAGGTAATCATTCATATTTCTGAATCTGTATTAAATTTGAGAAATAACTGATTTCCATTCAGTTTAGCTTGTTTCCACTGAAACACAATAACAAAAAAACATCTAGTGCTTATTAAGAAACTGACTGACATGGCTATTTTGTGATATTTAAAGAGATTAGGGTCTACATAAGGTGAATCTGCAGCTTTAAAGAGATAGTTCAGCCTGAAATTAAAATTATGTCATTTATTTACCCTCAAGTTGTTCCAAACCTGTATGAATGTCTTTCTTCTGCTGCACACAAAAGAAGATAGAGTGAATAATGTCGGTAACCAGACAGTTGATGTTAGCCATTGACTTCCATGGTAATTATTTCCTACTATGGAAATCAATGGCCACCGTCAACTTTCTGGTTACCGACATTCTTTAAAATATCTTATTTTGTGTTCAAAAGAAGAAAGAAACTCATACAGGTTGAGGGTGAACAACTTGAGGGTGAGTAAATGATTACAGAATTTTCATTTCGGGCTGAACTATCTCTTTAAAGAAATTTTCATTGAAAAAAACTAAGATTTTTTTTATTCTACAAGATAAGAGTGTTATTTGAATGCTGTAGTTTCACAGAAAATGAACTGAGATATTTAATGGCTATAGCTCAGAAGTGTTTGTTCCTCTTCATGAAGAGTTTAGCTCCAGCACCTGGGAGTGTTCATTGATCTGATGACCTTGATTAACTGCCTCAGGTGTGTTTAATTAGGGCTGGAGATAAAATCCGACACCCCTGCTAGTGTTTTCTTTTGATATTAAAGCATAGAAATAAATAAACAAAATTTTCTACGATACTATAATCGTAGTTAGAATATTTTGTTTTCAGTGACTTTAAAAAAAAAAGTGAATCATATTGTGTTTAGTATATTAACATTATTGAATGTGACTGTATGGATGACAACTGAATTGATTCGTTCTTGAGTAACATCATGCTTTCTTTTTCAGATTCCAGAGAACTCAAAGGAAAAGAGGCAGAATCTGATGATGCAAGACAGATTTTTAAAAACCTGAACCGCTGGACCTTATGATGACATCAGACTTCTGAAGCCAATTTTATTTTTAAAGGTTGAAATGCATTTGTCCTATTTCTCCCCCTTTCTTTAAAACAAATGATATTTTAATATATTTGTTGTCATTGATTGATTGAATAAAATAAATTGACTCAACTGCTGGAAAGGTGTCATTTATATTTGAAAAGGTTTTCGACAAATTTTGAAATGGTCAGGAATTTGTTGACGCACCTTTGAAGTGTGATTGAAATATTAATGTTGTTTCAACATTAATTGGTACATCAGATGGCAACATTGTTTGACATTCCTTTTCAGTCTTTCAACAAAATGTATTTAGAATCAACATCAAATTGTAACATTGATCAAACCATATTACCATTGATTATTTTTGTTAATTTCAATATTGATTCAGCATCAGTGATATAGAATCAATCATAGTATAACGTTGATTCAACAATATTACCATTGATTATTTTTGTTAATTTCAATATTGATTCAGCATCAGTGATATAGAATCAATCATAGTATAACGTTGGTTCAACAATATTACCATTGATTATTTTTGTTAATTTCAATATTGATTCAGCATCAGTGATATAGAATCAATCATAGTATAACGTTGATTCAACAATATTACCATTGATTTTTTTTGTTCAACATAGTTTCAACATTAACTGAGGGTGCAAAAGTGATGTTGATAAAATATCACTTTGTAATGTTGAATCAATACTATTACCATTGATTTTTGGTTGAATTCCCAACATTATTTCAACATTAACTGAGGGTGCAAGAGTGATGCTAAAGCAACATTACTTTGTAACGTTAATTCAATGCAATTAGCGTTGACGCATCAACACTGAGTCAACATTGTTTCAATGATTACATGCTATCTGGGTTATAAGGTTTTATAATGGGATTGCAAGGTTTTTATAGGCCAAATTACATCACTTCCTCAGTTAAAACAAATGGATCAATTCTAAACAATTTTGATAATATTTCAAATGAAATATTTCATTTCGTCTTGGCATCCTTTAATGTAAGACATAAGCCTAAAATAAGCAAAGAGTTATGTTATGTTGAGGCACTTGCGATGGAAGTGAACAAGACCAATTTTTAAAAGCAGAAATGTGAAACTTTACATGATTATGCATTTTTATAGCACCTCAAACCAACATGTGACCGTTTGTTTTAACACTATGTTTGCAAAAAGAATACTGTTTCTGCATCCACCTTCAAGAGTTTAAGCTCAGAGAAAGATTACTGTTTCAGCACCAAGGTTATTTTCGTAAACGAAAACTGAAAGACTAAATGTAAAAAAAAAAAAAAACATTTTTGTAAACTGAAATAAAATAGAAATCTCAACAAAAATGAACAACCACAACTAAACGAAACTAACAACAGTTACGCTACTGAAAAACTAACGGAAAGAAAGTAATAATTAGCAAAAATAAATTATGGTTTTGTAATTAATAAGCTCTCATCCTGTACCGGACAATCACGTTTTTCCATTCCACTGCACTACTTTATTTTTCAATGTTTGACCGTTGAGCTTGAGTCTCGCGTTTTTTGCAGCATCTCGTGCATGACATGACGTTCTGAAAATGCGGCACTCACGTTAAAATAAGGTCAGATTTTAAAAGACGCGTTTCGAGACTTTGCGCTTTTTACCCATTCAGCTGCCCCCGTCTAATTTAACCAGCCCTAGAAGCAGAAATGGCCAAATACGTTTTCATAATGTCTAGATCTTAGGCTTATGCAAATTACAGCTGTACCTTAATTCCAAGTAAAATAACCATTCCATGTGAAACTAAACAAGATACAACACATATTAGACAGGATACCACTAAACACACTGAGCAGAAAATGGAAAAAAAGAAATAGCCTATGTCTAGACCACAAAATAATAAAATATAAAAGTAAACTAAATGTCTGGTCTGAATAGAACACGAGTATAACTATGAGTAGGGCCTATATTTGATATTAAAATATACAATAGGCAAAAAGCATAAATGGATCAATACAAGAATAATGTTTGAAAGGATTAGTCATAGAAATAACCATAAAATAATAATCATACGCATATTTTTATATTTTTCTTATACACCTTTTTTTTTAACAAGATTTCATTTTTAATATGAATGAGTATGAATTAATAATTTTTACTTTTAATTTGCATTTGTTTGGTTCTTTGTTCAATCTCAAACAAACGTTTTTATTATTATTATTATTATTATTATTATTAAGGGGTTTGCACACAAGTTAATAAACTGCAAACATTAAACTTTGCTGAAATTAAATGTATTTAACTGGAAGTCTTTCCGTCCTTTGGATGAGACGTTAAACCGAGGTCCTGACTCTCTGTGGTCATAAAATATCCCAATATAAATTTGCCCCTTGTCCTCTGTCCATCATGGCCTCATAATCATCCCCATATACTGATTGGCTTCATCACTGTCTCCTCTCCACCAGTAAGCTGTGTGGTGTGCGTTTTGGCGCAAAATGGCTGCCGTTGCATCATCCAGGTGGATGCTGCACATTGGTGGTGGTTGAGGAGATTCCCCCTTCCATGTAAAGAGCTTTGAGGACCCAGTAAAAGCTTTTTTAAATTATTATTATTATTATTATTATTATTATTATGTTTAAAATATGATACATTTGGTGTATATGATGTAAGACATAGGTGGTATTAAGACATGTGTCTATCTCTGTCCTGTGTGTGTGTGTGTGTGTGTGTGTGTGTGTGTGTGTGTGTGTGTGTGTGTGTGTGTGTGTGTGTGTGTGTTCATGCAAATAACTTATGTGAAGCCAAGCTTATGGTATATGTCTTACCACAAAATATATAATCAGCTCAGTTTATTGGATAATATTGTATTACAGCCAGTGAGTTTTACCCACCTTCATAGGATGTCATCTTTTGATTTTCTATACTTAGCCAAATATTATTTTAAGTATTCTATCCAATAATCTCCTAAATATTATTTGGAATAATTATTCAGTTAAACCTGTTTCAAAAATACATATTTTTTAATTAGTTTGTATTCTCTTTGTGGTCTCTGCATCAGCAAAGTAGATCACAAATTAAAATATTGTAGGCCACATGAAAAGAGCTCAAAAATCACATTCATTTTAATTATTTACTTAACATTTTCACTTTTCTGGTCACGTTTATATGAATTAAGATCAAATATTATAACACTAGTTGGTTACTTATGGTAATATCTTGAAATAAAAAAGGTAGATATAGAAAACTGAAAACATTGTCGCTTTATAACTATAAACATCTCTGAACAAAAAACGGAACACTGTAAATATACAGACATAAAACAGATTTAAGACAATGGCAGTTAAACAAATCTTGAAATCTTCTTTCATTTGCATTTTCACATTTGCAAATGAATAGCTATAATTTACTTTTTAGGATTATGACAAATATAATAAAGTTATTATATTATTCATTTGTACAGACAGTCAGATGTTCTTTAAGGGTGATACACCCCCCCCCCCCCAACAAACATATAACAGTCCTTATATCTTGGCAGCTCTGAATAGAGCCAGTGAGACTTTTCATCTTCCAGGAAAGAGAGTCATGTCACATAAGTAACTTAAGGCTTATTACGCACATCTGGTCAACATCTGTTGGAGTATGTGCTGATGAGCAGCCCTCCACCTACAATCAGCAGAACACCGGCCACCCATCCGACATAGATGGAAGCTCCCAGCTCTCCTTTTCTCCCTGCTATTGCTTGAGGATTATAGAAGTCCACAATAGTGACATACGCCGACCAGCTGACAGCAACAAGGCAGGTTACACCTGCAACTATATAGACAGCACCAGCTGCTATTCCAATGTTGGTCTTTTTAAGCCGCTCTTCTCTGTAAAAGGTTGTGCAATTGGCCCCAACAACCGACAGTCCAATGGCAACCACACTGACAGCGATGGAGGCACAAATCAAAGCTCGAGCTGCCTGGAGATCTTGAGTCAGAGCCAGGACGGAGTCAAACGCTTTGCACTGCATGTGACCGGTGCTCTGCAGGACGCAGACCATCCACAAGCCTTCCCAGAAAACCTGTGCTGTCACGATGTTTGCTCCCACGAAGGCCGTCACTTTCCACATAGGCAATGCACACACTAGGATAGTACCACATAGGCCTAACACAGCCAGACATACAGCCAAGATCTGTCGACTCCTCATCTTGTACGGAACACAGGCAATTCATGTGCAATGAAAAGAAGGAAAGCGCCGTAGTTGTGAGAGCAAGCGACTATTGACAAAATGAATGCTCTTCCTTGTGCCGTAGGTATTGGTATATTTGAACAAAGAGAAAGCAAAGCAAGGGGAGGAAACCTGTATCGAGTTTCCTGCTCGACTTGATTCTTTTACTCAGTCCACATTCATGGAAGAAGTACACAATTAAACTAAGCAGTGGCTGTCCTTAACTCAAAACACTGCAATCACTGACTGTTTTTATTAATGATATATTTCAACCAAAAATTTACATTCCGTCTTTATTTTCTCACCCTATAATATCATTCCAAACCTGATGCTGTTTATTTTTTTATGTATTGTTTCCATAAAACAACACTTAAAGGGATAGTTCGTTGTCGTTGTCGTTGTGGGTTACTCTTTTGGCAGAAGTCGACTTGCATACGGCCGTCTGCCGGAAGCTAGTTATTGTAGTCGTTAAAGTTTTAAATATGGATATTTTTCTTACACGAACGCATTGCTTCACTTCAGACGGCTTTTATTACCCAGAGGCGTGTGGAGCACTTTTATCATGGATGGATGCACTTTATGGACTTCAAAAAATATACAGCCATTCACTGCCATTATAAGGCTTGGAAGAGCCAGGACTTTTTTTAAACATCACTCCGATTGTATTCGTCTGAAAGAAGAATGTCTTCTACACCTGATGAGTTGAGGGTGAGTAAATCATGGGCTAATTTTCATTTTTGGGTGAACTATCCCTTTAACAAGACTATGCCTAAAAATGACAACAAAAAAAGCTCCATGTAAGTATATACAACTCTTATACTTTCTAAGTTTTCTGAAGTGAAAAAAAATTGCTGCCTCAAATTAAAAAGTACAACTTAAATTGATTCAAAAATTAGTTGAATCTGGTAAAACCTCTTAAAGTTGAAAATTGCGTAACTTCTTTTGAGTAAAAGCAGTGTAAAAACAAATGTTGTCATAACTTATTGATCATTTTTTTACAGTGGGTTTATGAACAGACCACAATCATTATAGAGTGCTGCAATGACTTTTTTTGTAGGCCAACCCGGAAGTTAGCATCACCCTGGATCTCTCGACAAAAACCCAGAAGAATTTTCACTGGCTTTTGGATTATCGCAGAAAATAAGCTCTGTGACCAACGTTTATGATTCTTACACGTTTTGTTCACCATGATAATCTTCACAAATTACAACTTTTATGAATTTTAAAGCCTACATGGAACTAGCAGAAAAAGGCTAACTGTGTGCAAAGGCAGCAACAGTGTCTTGCCACAAAAGATGTACTCAGCACAATATGCTGACACCACACTGACCACCTTTCCATGCAGTAGCATGTGACCAACTAAAGTTGATTCCTCGCTTTGATAAACTTCACAGATGTAAAAACATTATGAATTGAGACTGAGTACAGTCGTCAGAAATAGAGCAAATAAACCACTCAAGTTGCATGATTTCAACATCATTACACTTCTGAATATTTTCAGTCTTTATTTGGGAACAAAGATTACATATTTTCCTTAAAGATTAATTTAGAATAGTTTGCAAGTACGCGATTATAAACGACGCCATAAAAGCAGCAGACCAGCGATAGAAGGGTTTCTTTTTGGTGATCCTGAGCAATCCTGCGCGAGCTCAATTGAGCATGCGCATAGGTTGCGCTGTACAAATTGAGTCATTTAGACAGTGTAAAAAAAAACATAATTTATTGAGTTAAAAATTGGCACGCAAGACAATAAAGTAAAAGTGCATCTCTCTTCCCTTACAAACAGGAGAGTCATTAGTCCATAAAGTCTGAGTTTTACACATAGGCCCCTGGAGCAGAACTCGGAGCGGAGTACTTGACGGAATATCCACGACCCTCACTCTTTGGGCACTGGGAACAGAGAAGCGAGCCCCCAATGAGCAGTAGACCAGACGCGCCCCATCCGATGAACAGCGACGCTCCCAGCTCCCGCTTCTGGGCCTCAGGCACAATGGGGTTGTAGAAGTCTCGGATGACGGTGTGCGCGCACCAGCAGACCGGGATAAGGCAGAGAACACCACCAACCAGAAAGAAAACCCCGGCCGCGATCCCAACTTTGGTCTTTGCGTCCCGGTCTTCAATGCAGTTGGTGCACTTGCCTCCAGCGACGGCCAGAAGAATTCCCAGGAACGTCACGAGGATGGAGATGATAACCAGAGCTCGAGCGGCCTGGAGATCTTGCGGTAGCGCCAGCATGGAGTCGTAGACTTTGCACTGCATCTGACCCGTGCTCTGCTGCACGCAGTTCATCCAAAGGCCTTCCCAGAAGATCTGTGCGGTCACGATGTTGTTGCCAATAAACGCACTCACCTTCCACATGGGGAGCGCGCAGATAATGATTTCTCCCAACCAGCCGATAACAGCGAGGGCAGTGGCCAAAATCTGAAGCCCAGCAGATGCCATTACTTTCTTGTGTGTAAAGTATCAGAGAAAGTCTATCACACGAAAGAAAGCTACAATTATTTATAGTGGCTTTTAGAGGCGCGGTTTCTAAACAATGTGATTTGACTCAGCTGGTGAGGATTTTCCGTCTTTCCTAATTGCTTTCAGACCAGGGGCGGAGCTGGGGGTGGCTGCCATGGAAATAATCACGGCCACCCACTGGCCACCCCGATCGTAATTGCGACCTATTATTTTATTTATAATAATTTCTAGACCTCGATCGCTAAACGATTACGTTCGGACTGCAAAACTATCATCACTAGCCGCGTTTCCATTACCCTTCAAATTTGGCAAATTGAAATTGCGCATTGAAAATATGCACAATGGAAACACGTCAATTTCGCAAAAACTCTCGTTTATCGCAAAAAAGTTTTCACGCTCACGTGAGGTGGTTTTTCAGGCAATTCGAAAAAGGAATATTTCGCAAAACTGCAATGGAAACAGTTTTTACCCATTTACAGTCACCTGACTTAGAAGACGTGGTATGTTTGGGTCCTTGTACGCAAATAATAATAGGCCTAATAATAATCATCATTATTATAACATTTATAGGCTACATATTTAGAAGACGCTTTTATCCAAAAAAGGAACAAAGCAATTCGTCAAATGGTATTCATACAGGTTAGACAACAATAATTCAGGGCTAAGATTATCACAAAAAAAAACCACAAGATTTTGACGCATATCCAAGTGTTTGTGCAGAGTGTGGAGCGCGCATGGCAGGGAGGCGCTGGCGCGAACACTTGCATTTTCCTATCAACAGTGGAAACAACTTAAAATAGGCTACTTTATCATTTCTGGTCATACAGAAAATAATAATACATTATTCGCAACTACTTTTATTTGTGTAAACTTAACTCACAATAACGAGAAAATGTTGTGCTTTTGTAAAATAAGCCGCTGGGGTGCGAGAACTGAAACAATTGCCTATGTAGCCATACTGTAGGCTAAGCTTGAAATGTCCACTTTAAAACGAACAAATTCGAATCGAAAGCTAATAGGCTACCTTCTGATTATGTAATCCGTATGAAAGGTGCATTTCTCTCTAAAGGTGCATCCGCCTTACAGCGGAGATGGAGATATGTTTTTAACCGACACTGATTTAAAAAACAATAGTTTATTAATAAACTATTAAAATGCCTCGTTATTTTTCAGACACTTTATTATCATTAGCCTAGCTTTAACTCACCGATAAATCACCTTTCTGTAGGCTGTGGTTCCAGAGACATGGCTCTTCACATTTAGCACTGCCGGAAAAATATCATTTCCAGGTTCTAATTTGGCCTTATAAAACCAGTAAAATCGACATTTTTTCTCCATATTAATTTGTGAATAGTTTAAAATGTTTAAAGACAAACAAAAATCAGAAAATCCGTCAATATATATATATTTTTTTTTTGCGCAGCATTTGGTGTGTGCAGTTCAAATTAAAATGTTGGTGTTCAACTTTGCGTTTTAAAAATACAACAAACGTTCATTTTTCGTTTTGCAATTACAGGTTTAAAAAAAAGGGAAATCGAATGGATACAAAATTAGGCCTACACTGACCGTTTGGACAGAATACGAGACAGAGTTCTTTATTAAATTCATAAAATAAACAATTACAGGAATACTGGATTCTACAATCTTCACAAATGACCAACTTATGAATTTTAAAGCCTAAATGCAACTGGCAGAAGTAAAAGGCTGTGTGCAAAGGCAGCAACAGTGGTTTGCCACAAAAGATATAGCCTACTCAGCGCAATATGCTGACACCACACTGACCACCTTTCCATGAATGTGACCAACTTGATTACTCGCTTTGATAAAGTTCAGATGTAAAAACATGATGAATTGAGACTGATTACAGTCGGCAGAAATAAACCACTCAAGTTGCATGATTTCAACATCACCATTACACTTCTGAATATTTTCAGTCTTTTTTTAGGAACAAAGATTAAATATTTTCCTTGAAGATTTAGAATAGTTTGCAAGTACGCGATTATAAACGACGCATAAAAGCAGCAGACCAGCGATAGAAGGGTTTCTTTTTGGTGATCCTGAGCAATCCTGCGCGAGCTCAATTGAGCATGCGCATAGGTTGCGCTGTACAAATAGAGTCATTTAGACAGTGTAAAAAAAAACATAATTTATTGAGTTAAAAATTGGCATGCAAGACAATAAAGTAAAAGTGCATCTCTCTTCCCTTACAAACAGGAGAGTCATTAGTCCATAAAGTCTGAGTTTTACACATAGGCCCCTGGAGCAGAACTCGGAGCGGAGTACTTGACGGAATATCCACGACCCTCACTCTTTGGGCACTGGCAACAGAGAAGCGAGCCCCCAATGAGCAGTAGACCAGACGCGCCCCATCCGATGAACAGCGACGCTCCCAGCTCCCGCTTCTGGGCCTCAGGCACAATGGGGTTGTAGAAGTCTCGGATGACGGTGTGCGCGCACCAGCAGACCGGGATCAGGCAGAGAACACCACCAACCAGAAAGAACACCCCGGCCGCGATCCCAACTTTGGTCTTTGCGTCCCGGTCTTCAATGCAGTTGGTGCACTTGCCTCCAGCGACGGCCAGAAGAATTCCCAGGAACGTCACGAGGATGGAGATGATAACCAGAGCTCGAGCGGCCTGGAGATCTTGCGGTAGCGCCAGCATGGAGTCGTAGACTTTGCACTGCATCTGACCCGTGCTCTGCTGCACGCAGTTCATCCAAAGGCCTTCCCAGAAGATCTGTGCGGTCACGATGTTGTTGCCAATAAACGCACTCACTTTCCACATGGGAAGCGCGCAGATAATGATTTCTCCCAACCAGCCGATAGCAGCGAGGGCAGTGGCCAAAATCTGAAGCCCAGCAGATGCCATTACGTTCTTGTGTGTAAAGTCAGAGTCTATCACACGAATGAAAGATACAATTATTTATAGTGGCTTTTAGAGGCGCGGTTTCTAAACAATGTGATTTGATTCAGCTGGTGAGGATTTTCCTCTTTCCTAATTGCTTTCAGACCAGGGGCGGAGCTGGGGGTGGCTCGCCGGGGGCTGGCCAAGGCTAAGAGAAATGTAAGGTATACTTCCACTCATTGTTGTATTGATATATGTTTGAATACAACAAGTGATATAGAAATCATTAATAAAAAACTGTTTGAAGGGTATGAAAATAAACTGAGACTGATTTTTGTTTTCTAGCTCTTTTTCAGACAGTTTAGGAGACAGACTTTGAGAATGTAGAGGAACCAACTAACTACGCTGACCTAATTGGACCTCCAGGTAAACTACCTATCACACATATCTTGATTATAAGTGTGAAAGTCTTATTTTCAGGTTTATTAAATAACCTCAGTCAAACGTTAGGTGTAAATGATGGGAAAACAGTATAAAATTAAAATATTTTTCTTGTCCTTGGAATTTGAAAGAAGAAAAAAGACTGATTCATCTTTATTGACTATTTTAAATAAAGAGCACAAAAAGCAAATGGAGGAAAATCGTACATGCATAAAACCTGTAGCAGAAGTCTTGCTGTTAACTGCAAACCACAATATATCCCAGAGAGGTCACAGGGAGACAGCTGATGCTGACATCAAGGGAAGCTTTTTTACACATTGGCAGAAATGGTACATGTCTCCATCATAAATGAAGTCAAGGAAAGTGAGGTGTTTGCCATTATGGCTGATGAAACTGAAGATACCAAAAAAAAGAACAGATCTCTTTGGTGCTAAGACACTACTACCGAGGAGCAGTTAAGGAAAGCTTCTTACATTTTGAAGCTGCAGAGCGCCTTGATGCTGCAGGACTGACAGAAAAAATAATCCATATCCTTGAAAGATATGGCTTGGATTACAGGAGTAACCTGGTTGGGCAAGCCTATGATGGTGCCTCTGTAATGAGTGGCAAGCACTCTGGCGTTCAGTCTCGTATTAAGGAGGTGGCAAAGCAGGCATTTTATGTACATTGCAATGCCCATTGCCTTAATTTAGTGTTAGTTGATACTGTGAAAGCATTCCTCCAAGCTGAATGTTTCTTTACAATTTTGCAGAGACCGCATTCATTCATGTCAGGCTAGAGTGTGAAAATAATACTTTAAGACACTTTAATTTAAAATTTCCATTGCACCATAAACACATCAAAGGATGTGAAGTGTTTCAAGAAAGTCCATATGACCAAAAGTGACCCAAATAGTTAATCAAATAAGTAAAATAAATAAACTAAATAAGCCAGCCAGAAAAAAAAACTTGAGACCACCCTTTTTTGCTTCCAAAGACCATGTCGTTTGTTCAAATCCCACCCATGTGGGAAGGAGCTGCATGTAAATGCAGTAAAGTCAGTAAAGGGGTGACTATACAAGAGGAGCATGGCATCTTTTAGGCTGCAGATGTTAGGATTTTGCCCTGTCTTTTGTTGGGTTTCTGGGGTCTATCATAACCTGCACCCTACCGATGTGGAATTCTACAGTCTTCTTTGGCAGTAACATCATTATGGCTCTGGTCATTTGGGGACTGTGGGTGAGTTGTGTGATTCAGAGCTCGGGGCACATGCAGTGCAAAGTGTATGATTCAATGTTCGCGCTGCCTGTGCATATCAAAGCCGCGTGCGCTTTACTCGTCATCTCTATCTTGCTCTTTGTCGTCGGCCTTCTCCTGGCGGTTGCATAGACAGTAAAAGAAATGGACACAGCGACCCCGTTGATTTCAACGGAGAGAGTTGAAGCCCAACATGGGCACTCACTTCCTGATAGCCAAGCGTTCTGCGCAGGCTCAAACTGAGCTTGACGACGTAGATGTCACGTGAGCAACCGTTCTGACCTTCTAGTAGCTGTGCCGGGACAAATCTGAATTGAAATCTGAAACAAATCTGTTGTTGAAATATTTTGTCCCGTTGCTTTTATGAACTCTCTATCTATGGGCTTCTCCCTTGACTTTATGCCTCCATGTCCACCCGATTGCCTCATAGACAGTAAACGATTGCCTACGAGCTTCTACTTCTGTCTATAGCCTACGG